TTGGAAGACTGCTCTCATGTCTCCCCTAGTCCTTCTTCTCATTAAACTAGACATAGCCAGTTCCTGCAACCATTCTTCATATGTTTTAGCCTCCAATCATCCCCTAATCATTTTTGTTGCTCTTCTCTGCACTCTTTCTAGTCTCAACATCTTTTTTACATCATGGCGACCAACACATATTATGTGTGTGTGTGTGTACACATATACACACACATGTCTGTCTGCCTTATCTATCTATCTATCTATCTATCTATCTATCTATCTATCTATCTATCTATCTATCTATCTATCTATCTATCTATCTATCTATCTATCTATCTATCATCTATTTATGCAACCTTCTAGTATCCATCCATCCTTACATTAGGTATTCTTCCATCTATCTATTCATGTATTATCTATGTCTATCTGTCCGTCCATCCATCCATCCATCCATCCATATTTATGACTGTGACCCTGAGGACACAGATAAACCTCCAAGTGGCCTCAAAGACCCTCTAAAAAGATGCAAATGACCAGCTGTCTGCAAGGAACATAAATCCTTCCATTCCCCCACCATTCAGTCAGAGCTGAAGAAGCTTCTGGGATGAGAAGCGAAACATCTTCAAAAGAAAAAAAATCAGAAAGTCCGGTTGCCTCCCAAAAAAGCACCTTTGGGTATATCCCAAGAGCTAATAATCATCGATTTGAGGAGTTTTCGGATTATTCCTCCAAAGACCAGTAAAGCCAGATTCCCATTCCATATACTAGAGTTGTCCAAAACACAAATAGCTCAAACAGCGTAATATGTTTATCACAAGTTTGTGTCAGGCAGGATGTTCTGAACTAGGCTTCCTGAGAAAGCATAAACCACAATTTTAGTCCCAAAAACCCTATTTTTATTTCAACGGCTGTGAATTCTGTTCACTCACAGCCCGTAATGAGTCCCAAACAGTTTGTGAATAGTCCAACAGAAGTCTGCCACAGTCTTTCGGGGTAAGGCTGATAAGCACCCACCTTTATCTCCTTTGACATGCTGCCAAAGACCTAATTGCCAATTAGCTTTGCAAGGCCAAACGGAGCACAAAGTCAAGACGGAGCTTCAGAATTTAAACCAACCAGGACGAACAAAGTTGCTTCCTGCAAAGGCTCTTGTCCCTTTGCTCCACCTTTATGTCTTATGGGAGGGGCCAATCATCTCCAAGCCTTACTCCCGAGTCGCCCCTTTTGTCTTAACTGTTTTTGCCTTCTGGCAGCTCTGCGCATGCACGCACTGGGAACTGGCTCCCTCCTGTTCCTCTGCCTCGCTGATGTCAGACTCTGGAGTCAGCACATAACTCCCAGATGGCCCTGGCTGCATCTCTGCCTCTGATGCAGAGCCCTCATCCGAGCCTTCCCCAGACTCCAGGACTGGCCCATGTTCCTCCCCAGCCTCCTCACTGTCTGACTCTGCTGTCAGCTCCGCAGGCCTCCGACAGACCACAACACAGGAAGAATCAGGACCATACATTAAGTTCCAGCTAAATTGATGTATTACTCATGCATATACACAAGAATCTAGTCAACTAACAGTCAGCACTAAGCTGGCACTAGATTAAGAGTCAACAGAACTCAAGAGGACTTGAACTTGGATCATTTATGGAAACGTAATGATTCCAGGTTGGTTCCTCTCTTGACTCTACCCGCAGGCTCTGTCCCTCCTTCTCCTACTGTTTACGGTGCAGGAATCAGCAATTAAGAAGATCCCAGATGATGTTCATGCAAAAACTGGTTTGTCCAAAGGGATCTTCTTTATAAAACATTAATTGTTCCAACACTATGCGGTTGATATGTTTTAAGTATTATTTTCTCAGCAGCAATACTGACGTCTAACTAATTCTGAGGATTTTATGCCTAATTCTACTCCGATTCCAGTGTAGCATGATAGTATACCTCCCAAATTCTACTTTGTTGGGGAATCTGTTGGGAATAATACCAGAGGGTTACGATAAAGGGATCACATATTTATTTTTACATATACTAACAGCGACAAGGGTTATATTTGCTAAAAAGTAGAAAAATGAAAACACTCCGCCAGATGGAGACGTAATTCGGAAAACTTTAGAATGTGCTGAAATGATTAGGTTAACTTTTAAAATTATAGATAAAGAAGACTCAGAATACTACTAATAGCAGTTTTTATGAGTGGCTAGAGAAAATGGGTAGGAATTAGAGGAAAAAAGACTATGAATGTCTGTATTAAAATAGAGAAGGTTTTCAACTATAAGTATGATAATCTACAAAATGTAAATAGATATATGAAAACCCAGTTTAAACTATTTGGTTATACTATTACAATTATATCTAATACAAGTGTAATTGTATTATTGTTACTGTTACTAGTTACTGTTACGAGTTCATGTGTTAATATATTTTTCTTTTTATTCTGGTCTGTTTGTGTAACTGACATACCCTGCATTCATACTCTGTATTCAAAAATGCTTATAAATAATTATCTATATCTATATCTATATCTATATCTATATCTATATCTATATCTATATCTATATCTATATCTATCTATCTATCTATCTATCTATCTATCTATCTATCTATCTATCTATGAACTAATTGGGTGGGAGCTTGGCTGTGTTCTGATTGGGTGGAGGTGTGTTCTGATTGGTTGGGGATCCTAAACAGAACACACCCCCAGCCAATCAGAGCACAGCCAAACCCCCATTTAATCAGAGCACAGCCAAACCCCCAACCAATCAGAACACACCTCCACCCAATCAGAACACAGCCAAGCTCCCACCCAATCAGTTCACACCCCCACTAGCAGTTAAAAGGAAGAAACAGCTGCGATCTCACATTGCTCCTAGAAGCACGAAGCCGAAAACACCAGCCTGAAGATGACGAATGAGACTTCGTCGAAATGTCGCCAAGACACTTCCAATTTTACACGGGAGAAAACCCAAATAACCAAAGACCTACATACAAATACCCGCGAAACCTCAGAAAACACACACACACACACACACACACACACACACACACACACACACACATATATATATATATATATATATGAAACAAATTCCACTTTACTTAATGATTTGGAATAAGGTTGAAGAGATGGATCAACAATAGTCTTGGGGGCATCAGTAAACTGCCTGCTGAACATCTAATAAGCGGGCATTTTAAAATCTAAGTATCACTGACATTTTCTTCTCAATCTATAACCCATATCTTAGGTCAGGGGTCGGCAACTTTAAACACTCAAAGAGCCACGAAGGTCCTAACCGGAAGCTCCCTGTTCAATTCTAGAGCCAACCGGAAGTCCAGTTCCCCCACCATAGAGTCTCCTCCTAGCGCGGCGTCCTTTTTCCTCTCTGTTCTAACCAAAAGCCCTATCAATTGTGGAGCTGACCAACAACAGGGAGCTGCAGCAGAGGGATAAAAGAGCCACACGCGGCTCCACAGCCACAGGTTGCTGACCCCTGTTTTAGGTGGTGGTGGTGGGGGGTTGGTTCTATTTTTCATTCAGTTTGAGGGGGGGAAGCATGTTAAAGCACTCTTCTTCCCTTACTTTAAAAGTGCTGAATGGGCTTCTGAAGTACATTAATTTGTGCGAGACAATTAATAAGGGGAGAGAGAAGATGCGTATGAGCGCATTGTGAGGTTGACATGTCCATCCATTAGAGCCTCTGTCGGAGGAGACTCTGCTGAACAAGGAATCTAGTTCATTATACAAAAGTATTTCCACTTGAAACTAATTTCAGTCCAGTACAGATTATGAAGGGGTTCACTTGACGCCATAGCTTTGCCAAGTTGGCGGATGAATTCATCTCACTATTCATTCTTCTTATTCAGCTGCGCGATGGAGGATTTTAATTGCGTGTCCCTATTTGTGTTTCTCACTGGAGAAAGCAATTCTATGGGATGAGTTAATGGTAAAAGGACACCAGGCCATAGAAGAACATGGTAGCTGGACACCATAAAAGCTAACACCACCAAGAATAAGGGAAAAGCAGTGCAAGATTGGAGGATGTGGAGATGTGGAGAGACCTGGCCCATAGAATCACCAAGAGTGATTCACTCTTCATTCATCCATGACCGAATAAATATCATCATCATCATCATCATCATCATCATCATCATCATCATCATCATCATCATCATCATCATCATCTCTTCTCCTTCTTTTCCTCCTTCTCCTCTTTCCTCTTTCTCCTTCTCTATCATCATCTTCTTCCTCCTCCTCTTCTCCTCCTCCTCCTCCTTTCTATAATCCCCTTCATCTCTTGTCTCCTTCTCCTGTCTACAGTATCTCCTCCTCCTCCTCCTCCTTCTCCTTCTCTATCATCATCTTCCTCCTCCTCCTCCTCCTCTTCTCCTCCTCCTCCTCCTCCTTTCTATAATCCCCTTCATCTTCTTGTCTCCTTCTCCTGTCTAGTATCTCCTCCTCCTCCTCCTCCTCCTTCTCCTTCTCTATCATCATCTTCCTCCTCCTCCTCCTCCTCTTCTTCTCCTCCTCCTCCTCCTTTCTATAATCCCCTTCACCTTCTTGTCTCCTTCTCCTGTCTACAATATCTTCTCCTCTTTCTCCTTCTCTATCATCATCTTTCTCCTCCTCCTCCTCCTCTTCTTCTCCTCCTCCTCTCCTCCTCTTCCTCCTTTCCTCCTCCTCCTCCTCCTCCTCCTCCTCCTCCTCCTCCTCCTTTCTATAATCCCCTTCAGTTTCTTGTCTCCTTCTCCTGTCTACAGTATCTTCTCCTTCTCCTTCTCCTTCTCCTTCTCCTTCTCCTTCTCCTTCTCCTTCTCCTTCTCCTTCTCCTTCTCCTTCTCCTTCTCCATCTCTCATCCTCCTCCTCCTCATCTTTGTTTCACTCTTTACTGAGGAAAGAAATTACCAAAACTGCCCTAAATATAAGAAAACACATATTGTGACACATTCTATTGTGATGTCCTAATGCAAATCTCGAAAATGGGAGAAACATCACAGAATTGCAAAGTAGACTCTGCAGGAAGACTACGCTTACCTTCATAGGTTCCACTTTCTAGAAGAGCACCACTTTTCTCTAGTTCCATAAAATCTTCAACCGTGATGAAAATATAATCCACACCAGGGACTTCCCCCTCCTTATGAGGCCTTGTAGTGCCTGTTTTGAGAAAAAAAAAGAAAGAAAAATCAGATCGGTTATATGCAGCAACAAGCAGAAGATCATGAAAAACTAAAAGATCAGATCCACATGTGAATGTCCAATTAAACAGATTTATTGCTAAACAGTCTATGCACATGAATCTTCTCTATGTACATGATTAGCACCTGCTTAGAGTTAAATAAGGGTCAGCGGCACTCAAGAAGCGATTAGACTAAATTCACTTGTGGCTACGTAGAGATTCTAGGCTCATGCCTCTTTTCACTCCGCCCCAGATTTGCTTCATCCACATCAGACTCCCAAATGATTTGCACAAAGTTCAGTTCAGGGGTGGGCTTCAAAAATTTTAGCAAGGGGTTCTCTGCCTGGTTGCTGGGTGGGCGTGGCCATGGTGGGCGTGGTCTAGTCAGCCTCCTGCACCAGAACATGGTGTGTGTGTTTTTGCCCCCAGGCTCTGGAGGCTTTCCTCGAGCCTCCAGAAGGGCAAAAACAGCCTCCCCAGGCTCCGGAAGCTTTCTGGAGGCTGGAGGCCGGAAGCGGCTCCATTTCTGGCCTTCCCAAACTTCCGGTAGGCCCGTTTTTCACCCTCCCCAAGCCTCCGTGTGCGCCCTTCCAAAACGGGCTGTGTGGGGATTCCTGGGAGGAGGGGGGGCAAAGTGGGCGAGGCCAGCCAGGCGTGGGATTTGGGGGTTCTCTGAACTGCACAGAATCTTAGCTATAGATTCTCCCGAACCCCTGTAAACTCCCTGAAGCCCACCCCGGTTCAGTTCATTGCACAACGTCATCACAATTGGGTTCCCAACTAACACAATTCCTTAGTGCAGCTTTCTAACCAATGAACTCTGACTATGGATGTGTGTTTTCTTTCTTTTCCTGTGTTGGACAAATGCTAGAAGGAAGACACTCGATAGGAAGCAATTAAAAAAAAAAAAATCTTAACAGCAGCAAACAAGCAAGAAATCAGGATTTATTTTTCAGTACTTCCGGCAAAATCCTGTGTTCAGTGGGATTTTCACTGTTCTTCGCTGAAAAATTATATATATATATTTTGTATTCCTTATTGCAAAATTAAGGACCGCCAGTCAGGGAAATGATCAAAAGGAAAGCTGAGTGAGTCATCAACAAATAAAAAGACCAAAAGGCATCAAATAAATCAGGAAAGATTCTATTCAGGACTTTTAAAGAAGATTTGGTTACTTGGCACTAAAACTAGATTTTGCTGAGGGTCAAGGAACAAAATGCCAAAAGAGATAATTACTTTTATTTGTCACTGCTTGTTGGAACTTAACCCGATTCGCTGATAAATAACAATGCCCTTTCTCCCTCAAAAGCTTTTTGTAGCCACTTTTTCATGAGGGAAAAAAAAAATTTTGAGAAAGGGCATCGTTACAGAATTAGGCATTTCTTTAGGCTGAAATTCCCCATCTTGGCGGTGCAATCTTTATCAAACCAAAGTTTAGAGTGCTTAGAATGCAAGATTCTCACGGTGTCTCTTTGCGGGTGGCGGGAGAATGAAGAAGGAAAGGATGGAGCTTGCAAAAATTCTAGCAACTAAGCTTGTTTCTTGTCTAGCAATCGATATACGTGAAGTCAGAGGCTTCTCTGTATCCTGCACGAGTCAAAAGAGGGCTGTGAAAATATTTACAGACCCCTCGCATCCTGGACATAAACTCTTTCAACTCCTACACCCTCAAAACGACACTATAGAGCACTGCACACACAGAGCAACTAGACACAAGAACAGTTTTTTCCCGAACGCCATCACTCTGCTAAACAAATAATTCCCTCAACACTGTCAAACTATTTACTATAAGGCTGCATTACTATTACTATTAGTCTTCTCATCGTTCCTATCACCCATCTCCTCCCACTTATAACTGCATGACAGTAACTTTGTTGCTTGTATCCTTACGATTTAAATTGATATTGATTGTTTCCTGATTGCTTATTTGTACCCTATGACTATCATTAAGTGTTGTACATTATGATTCTTGATGAATGTATCTTTTCTTTTATGTACACTGAGAGCATATGTACCAAAGACAAATTCCTTGTGTGTCCAATCACACTTGGCCAATAAAGAATTCTATTCTATTCTATTCTATTCTATTCTATTCTATCTCTATTCTATTCTATTCTATTCTATTCTATTCTATTCTACTCTACTCTACTCTACTCTACTCTCTACTTCTACTCTACTCTATTCTTCTATTCTATTCTATTCTATTCTATTCTATTCTATTCTCTCCTCTCCTCTCCTCTCCTCTCCTCTCCTCTCCTCTCTCTCCTCTCCTCTCCTCTCCTCTCCTCTCCTCTCCTCTCCTCTCCTCTCCTCTTCCTATTCTCCGTTTTTTTTTCTAACTGTCCTTCTCTAAACAGATAAAACGGTGTGTCTTTTGACTGGTATTTGCTTCCAGATAGTGATTTAAACAACAGCCTTCAGAATTTTAATCAGGTTGAGAATGAATCTTTCCACTTGTCTGTCTGTCTCTGACCAAAACCAAGAGTCCATTCGTCACACCAGATCCTCATGTGAAGGTTCAATTAAACTGCTTCATTGCTAAAAGCCTACGCACAGGAATCTTCTCAACTAACAGTTAGCAGTTAACTAACAGTTGATTAGGGTCCGTGGAGTTCAAGGAAAGTTGGATTTAGTTTGCTTGTGGCTATGTAGAGATTCTAAGCCTGATCCCTCTTTTGATTCCACCATCAGATTCTGCCGCACCTCCTCCTATGTCAGGGAAATACTTTAAGAGCTGACCAGCTGCTACAATGATATAAGGCAGGGAAGGAGTTAGCAAGGTTTTTGGGCTGATACAACTTTAAGAGGCTGTATATATACATATAAGAGATGCCCTGTGAGGGTGTCTCTCTCTCTCTCTCCATTTGTGCTTCTGTGCTATAGTTGATGATTTATATTATATGATTTATTTGCAATTTATATTGTTTTATTTAGTTTCCTAGTATAATTTTTGGTGATTGCTTATTTACTATCCTATGACTATCACCAAATGTTCTATCTTAGGATTTATGATGAATGTATTTTTATGATGACTATGATCATGATTTATCACTTATATCTTTGATGTACGCTGAGAGCTTATGCACCGAAGACAAATTCCTTGTGTGTCCAATCGCACTTGGCCAATAAAGAATTATATATCTAAACATATCTTGGCTGTTCTTCTTCTTCTTCTTCTTCTTCTTCTCTTCTTCTTCTTCTTCTTCTTCTTCTTCTTCTTCTTCTTCTTCTTCTTCTTCTTCTTCTTTCTTCTTCTTCTTCTTCTTCTTCTTCTTCTTCTTCTTCTTCTTCTTCTTCTTCTTCTCTCCTTCTTCCTCCTCCTCCTCCTCCTCCTCCTCCTCCTCCTCCTCCTCCTCCTCCTCCTCCTCCTCCTCCTTTCTCCTTTCTCCTTCTCCTACCCCCTTCCCCTTCTCCTTCTTCCTCTTCCTCCTCCTTCTCCTTTGAATCGGAGGAGGCACGTTGAATGTGGAATGCTTTTAAACTCCCTCATATCTGCTTGCCTTTCCCAATGAGCTCTAATTATATGCTCAATTTCCTGACGCCATGGCAATCTTTGGCCTCTCCACATACATGGCAGATGGGAAGCAGATAGCCAAGCACATGGGAGAGCTTTATAATTTATAGGTTGATTTTTTTTTTTGTCTGTGAGTTGTTTCGGAAGCGCTTAGCATGTAGGAATGGAGACAATTTTCCCACTTGGCAGGATAAGACGTCTGCCAGTTCCCAGTGTGCGTAAATGGGAAATGTGGAGAGGCTTATGTTCATGAGCACCGTTGACAGCCTTCACAGATTCACTGGAAAATCTCAACTGAGTTTCTGACCCAGCTCCCCAAACACGACAAATCCTCTGAAGTGAATTCAAGGATTCCTTTATTAGGAGCACCAGCAGTCCCAGTAAAAAGTCTCTTTCTCACTGCAGGCTAACAAGTCTGTCCATTCAGGAGATGAATAGTTTTCTACCACACCTATTCATCTCCACTCTCTGCCTTTTATCCCCAGAGCTAGGGTGGGGTTTCGCCAGCAGCAGTGGCTCTTCCGTCCCAAGAACCAGCCCATAGATTTCCACTGCTCTCCTCTCCTCTGCCTTTTCATCCAACAAAGTTAGTACTCTGAGATTACCAAAGTCCCGGGGTTATGAGGCTTCTCATTTGTGGCATTAACATCTTGACTTGAGGTAGAAATGCAATCAAAGGAAAACTGAACATTCATTCAGTCAGCACACCATCCCTGACAATGCATGTCCTTCATGTGACTGTCTGAGAAAGTACAGCCTCTGTATCTGAGGTAGCCAAACGTTATTTTGTACAAGGGCAAAATGATACCCATTTTAACTTTTACCGATTTAGTTGCCATGGGTTGTCAACAGAATAACAGAGTTTTGGAAGGGACCTTGGAGGTCTTCTAGTCCAACTGCGTGCTTAGGCAGGAAACCCTACACCACTTCAGACAAATGGTTATCCATCATCTTCTTAAAAACCTCCAGTGTTGGAGCATTCATAACTTCTGGAGGCAAGTTGTTCCACTGATTAATTGTTCTCAACTGTCAGAAAATTTCTCCTTAGTTCTAAGTTGCTTCTCTCCTTGATTAGTTTCCACCCATTGCTTCTTGTCCTGCCCTCAGGTGCTTTGGAGAATAGCTTGACCCCCTCTTCTTTGTGGCAGCCCCTCAAATATTGGAACACTGCTATCATGTCTCCCCTAGTCCGTCTTTCCACTAGCATATTGAGAGTCATGTGGCATACAAGTTAAATAAGTTATTACTATCCATTATTCCACCCTGGAATACCTACACTGATCGTGCAGCTGTTGTTTGAGAATGTATTTGCATTAAACAGACACATATCGGCTGTTTTCAAATATTATCGCATTTTACAACGATCTCGCATGCTATTCTACAGATCTAGCAATTCACTTTTCTGTATCGGAGAGCCTCATCTTAAACAATAGGTCAGTATTGGTGAAGCTTTTCGGCACCAAG